CCTTAACTCACTAAGGACTTTTTTTCTGTTGTTTATTGGCTGGCAGCTACCTGCTCATCAAGAAGCAAAATCAGAAAAAACAAACAATCTAAAAAAAAAATACAGAGGTATAAGGGACTATAGTAAAAGAATACAAAATATGAAAAAAAAGGGATAAAAAAAGCAAAAACATTATTATTGACCTACTTAACCCATTTTTATTAACCTATCCAAAATAAAAAAAAATTTCTCATCATTATTGACCTATATAACATATTACGATTATCACATATTGGTATCTCTATTTACTTAGCTTATAATTATTATATATCTGTATCTCTATTTACTTAGCTTACGATTATCACATATTCATATCTCTATTTACTTAGCTTATGATTATCACATATCCATATCTCTATTTACTTAGCTATATATATAGTGTAATATACTGTACATATTATATACTTGTATTTACCATTATAGCAAAATCAATACATATAAGGTTCAGTACATACATATATACTTAGCTTTTACAAAGTATTATCTTAATACTAGAATAGTATCTTTACAAGATGCTAATAAACTTGCTAAGTAAATCTAAAAAATATTCAGAGCTATTTTGGTTATTCTACTTTTTGAACTCCAATATTTTTTAAACATACTAGAATTATGATAATTACTTCACAAATAGAATCTTAATTTGATTACTACACTAACTTATCTAGTACTGATATGGTGATTCATATTGACAAGCAATTTGTAAAAATTATATTTAAGGGTCGACAAAATTGATTATACTAAATAGACTAATACAAATAGAACTCAAAATAAGCAATATTTGAAACATAGTATCTATATAAATTGTGAATAAAATTTTATTAAAATTTTTACATATATAGTATATAAATGAAAATATTTTTAATAAAAGCAACAAATGCACAAGATATTAACTTGATCGATTTAGTGAAGAAAAAAAAAATCAAACTATTTGAATTATTAATATTGTGATACTGTGAACAAACCTATAAACAACTCAAGTTTTATTTGGGATATAATGTCGAAAATACTATATTTATTTATTAATATAGTTATAATATTAATAGTCTACCAAATAAAGATCAGTTTTAATAACAAAGCCTATATAATATGTATAAAAGACACAATATGTATAAATAATAAATTTGTTAATATAAGGCTACTTAAATTCTTTAACCAACAGATTCATAAATAAAAACAGAAAGATTACTATTAATATATTTATACTTCGCAATGCTAGATATGTGCTTAAACCGCAAGATGTTAACTAATTTGAAGGCAATAATAATATAAGAATAAACAATAAAATGAATTATTACCCTCAGTAATAGCAACTACAAGTTAGATATTTGTTTCTCCCTAGTTTTTTTGGCATCAAACCAGGTAAATAATTTTTTCTTGTTAAGTTCTACATTTTCATTTAAACAAATATCCTGCTCAATACAAATCTTTACAAATTCATATCTTTTCTAATTTAATTGCTTTTCTGCAAAGAGATTTTCAAAAGCCGATTGTGCAACAATTTTCTTGGCATTTTCTTTACTTTGAACAACCTATTAAAAGTTTATAGTAGAATTATGTTAATTACCTAACACGAATTTTTAGTACATAATTACCAATTTAACTATTAATATATATTAAGATACTTTTTTTGAAATGATACATTTGCAATTATGAATTGCAGCTGTTATTCGTTTTTGAATTAACAGAGATAATGGGCGCAATGTTTCTCTTGTATTAACTACTAGATTTTTATTTGAATCAGATAAATTTGACAATTCCATTTCCTCATTAAACAACATTAAATCATTATCAGCTATATAATTCTAGAAATTAAAATAGATATGAAAATTAAAATATTTTTACATAATTTATTGTACATATTTAAACTTAAATACTACTTGATTTGCTATAGGTACAAAACCATTAGATTTTGTAGCTTAGCCCCATGTACTTTAGAAGCTCCAACATTTGCTGTTCTTTGTGCTGACATTTCAGCAAGGCAAAATGGATCCTTTTTTGTGACTCCACATTCACATAGAAAAAAAATATCACTACCTTGTTCTGAATAGATTTGAAGAATCTTTTGAAATGCTATATTAATAGAGCCATTATAAATGATAAAATTTTTTGCTCATTTGGCATTGCATATTCTTTATTATAAAAATATAGCACAAGATCGTGCTTTACAGTTTCAAGTATAATTTTATGATCTTCAATATCGTTAAATAAGTATACCACATGAACATGCTTACACATATCACGAAAAAAGCCATTCTATACAAAATCAAGATATGTACATTCACTAGTTAAAATATTAGCAAGATAATAGTTATCTTGTTTTTCAATAGAATGTTTTGATGCAAGTTTATCTAACATCGGTTGAAGTAGTTAATAGGATTCATTATTAATAAAAATATCTCTTATAGTATATGGTGACTGAAATCTATTATTTTCTTTTTTTATATAAAAATATATATTTGATTTCCCAATTGCAGGTTTAACTAAGTGAAACAAAACGTAAAGCTGCTCTTGATTTATTCGCCACTTTATATCTATTGATTGTTTGAATTGCATAGATTGGTGCTCTATAATTCGTAAGTTCCAATATATTACCTGACCTGCTTCAAATATAAGTTGTGAAGAGGTCTCTTCAATAATATTACTCCTTACTAGAGTAACACCATATAGCCTTTCAATAAAATGATTAATTGGCTGGGTGCCTACGCGTTGACCTTCAATTGACTTGTTTATCCATTCTGTAAGATTATTTGTAGTCATAAGTCTGGTATTTGACATATCATTTGAAGACGACATGCGGCCACTATCAATAAAACACTTAATCGATTCCTCAGATAACTAGTTTGCAAATATATCATTACATAAAAATTCTTTTGCAATCTCTGTGATTGGTAAAGATTTAATAAAGGATTAATAGACTTTACCAAGCTCCAAAGCCTTCTCTTTATTTCTGCTACGCAGAGTTGTTAATAGCTTGAATGGCTTAGCTTGGCTTTTAAAAGCTGCGTCTTTAGCTTGAACCATAGCTATTGAAGCTACGGCTTGAGTCACAGCTTAAGCCACAGCTCAAGCCATGGCTCAAGTTATGGCTCTAATAACTATTACTAAAAATATGACTCTGATATATAGCAATAAATGTATAACAGTTATATTTAATTAATGTCCATAATTAATATATAGAATAGAGCTATACATATAAAGATGCAAAGAGTATTTAATGTTATTTTTTTATGAACAAGTATTGATAAATTATTTTTGTAGTGATAGGAGTTTATTAGTATATCAAGCACAAATACTAGTTTCACTAAAATAAAATAGTTCTTGCTAATTTTTTTACATTGTGCTTTCAAACCTCAGTTTGTAAAAATAAATATATCGTTCTTATAAAACTATTAATCGAGTTAAAAATATTGTTTGAGTTAAAAATATTGTAGAATTAAAAATGTTATTAAAAATATTGTTTAGTTATTAATTGAGTTAAATTTATTAATTTATTAATTGAGTTAAATTTATTAATTTATTAAATAAGTTAAAATTATGAATCTAAATTTATATAAATGTAACAAATGTAAAACAGTAAAGCATTAAGTCAAAAATGTCAAATATTGATCTCTATGATATTGGTTCTTATGATCCTAAAAGTTCTGATCATGATAGCACTAATGCCTCAACATCTCAAACATCTAACAGTATAGATAGCAATAGAAAGTCAATTGTGTGAAATTTTATGCATGAAAAAAGAAATGCAACTGAAACTGTTATAGTAGTATATAATGAGTGTTCACAAGAATATAGTATAAAAACATCAACAGGGGTTTTAGCTAAACATTTAAATAAAAAACATAATCGTAATATTACTTTGAAACCAAGAAGATTTTTAGTTCAAAAACCTTATAGTAAAGATGATAATACATGTATAGAAGAATGTAAAAGTTCCATATTAGATTTCTTTGTTGGTGATCAAATTCCATTCAATACTGCAGAAAGCAGGTGGTTTCGTAAGATGACAAGTACACTTGATCTAAGGTATTAATACTAATTTATTATTACTCTTTTCGATTTAGTTAGATTATCGATTTAACTAAATCAAAAAGAGCAATAAATTTTATTAAATAAGTTTTTTAAATTTTAATATCTATATCATTCTATATTTTTTTCTTAATTAGATATATCTCACCAAGTTGGCAACATATAAAAGACAAAATAATGTTATGATATGAGATTCAAAAATTACTCGTTGCTGAAAAACTTAAAAATTTAAATACAAAAGTAGCGATTACCGCAGATATTTGGACCTCTTCAGCAAATCAGGCTTATCTTGGTGTCACAATTCACTTTATTAATAACAAATAGAAAATGAATTGATTCTTACTTAATCTAATTCATTTTGGATCTAACTATACTGAAGCACGTACAAAAGACAAACTAATTAATCTTTGTAATAACATGAATATTAACGATAAAGTTATAGTATTAACTACAGACAACCATTTGGCAATGATCTTATGTGGAGATCTATTAGAAAGAGAGTGTGATAAATTTGGGTTTAGCCATTATAGATGAGCAGCACACATTTTAAATATTGCAGTTAGTCATAGAATGCAACTAGAAACTGCAATAATTAAAAAGGTTCAAAATTTCATAAATACAGTACAATGTTTAACAATTTTGTGTGATGATCTTCGATGTTTTTGTGCCTTAAATAGGTAATTACATTATTTATAAAAAAATTACCATAGTAGTACATACCCCCAATAAAAAGTAGTACGTACGTATATATGTATCTAAGTACCCAGAGTGCTATAATATACTGTAAGCTACGTGGTAATATTAATTATTTAATTTTTATATTTTTAATAGAAAAACATTTCATACACTCAAAATTGATGTGGTTACTCATTAGAACAGTACCTATAAAATGCTTCATAGGTTTAAACTTATACATCCTGAAATTGATCTTCTTGTGACAGCATACAAAAATCAGCTTAATTACATTTACCCTAGTAATTATGAGTAGGAAAGAATTAATATTATGATCGATCTTCTTCATCTAGTTCTTGAAGCAACAGAATATCTTTCAGGTAGCTCATACCTGACGATCTCTGATGTTTGTTTGACTGTTGGTGGACTTATTCAGCATTTTGATCATTTTATTGATAACAGGTCACATTTGGATGAAGAGTGTATAATTGCAGACTCTATACATTACAAATTAAATGAATACTGGTCTCTTCTTAATGAAAAAATTACAGTGGCTGCAATTCTTGACCTATTATCAAAACTTAAAATGTTTTTATCTGGGGAAAAAAAAACTGCAGCTATTACTAGTTTGCGTCAAAAAATACTTCATTATAGGCCATTGACTTTAGTAGAAAATACCAACTTAATTGTCTCTAAAAATAAAAAAGCATATTTTAAATCCTTTTTTTCAGAAGAGCAAGAAACTAAACAACTACCAGAAGAAGAATTAGATTTATACTTATCTTTGCCTACATACCAAACTAATCTGTTTAGTTGGTGGGAAAAAAACGAGTATAGATTTTCAACCTTAGCAGTCATGGCGTGAAACTATTTAGCTACTCAGAAAACTAGTATTCCCTGTGAAGAAGCTTTTTCTGTAGCAACAGAAACAATTACAAAAGTTTGTAGCTGTCTTCTTCCTGAAACTGCTTAGGCATTGCTTTGTTTGAAAAGCTGGATGGAACAAAACATTGGTACTGATTGAAGTTTCAAATTATAAAGGTAGATAGCAATATTAGCATTAGTGTATGAGTGTATAAGAGTGAAATTCTGGAAACCAATTATAGTAAATCATTAAATCAGCTTCTAGGTTTTCACTTTCACACACTTATAAATATAATTATCAGTATTAGTATTAATTGTAATAGTGTATATTGATCGATATATATAGTATTGTGTACAAAATTTGAAATGCATACCTGATACATACGTATGTACATATGTATATACTTAGTAAGCTGCAGCTCAAGCTGAGCTACAGCTAAGCTGTGGCTCTAAGCTATAGCTCAAGCTACAGCTTAAGCTGCAGTTCTAAAATATAGCTCAATCACATTTCAAGCTGTAGCTTATCGGCTTGGAGTGTCTTGGCTCCATTATACAGCTGAAGCCAGCTTCAAATAAGCTGTTAACAACTCTACTGCTATGGCCTACTATCTTAAAAGCAATTGGATACCGATAATGTTCATCAATTTTTAAATTTTTAAGATGTTCAACACAAGATTAAACTATGTAAAATAGATTGCAATTCCCGCTTTGTTGGTCTATGTTTATCGATCATTGCAAATGGTTGCCATACTGATGCACAATTTCAAACTCTTATAAACCTTCTACTATTTGATAGTTCTTCATAATAGTACTTATGTGAACAATTAATATTGTTGCAGGGAATATTTCGTTGAACTGCTTCTATAGCAAGTTTAATGGTGAAACTATTCTCTTTGTTTGAGATTCCAAATGCAATTGGTGTTCCATATCCAGTGCTATCTTTAATAACAAGAGACAAAATCGGGGCACCATCACTATTTAAATCATATTTGCCATCGATGTCAAAACAGAAGGAACCAAAATTATATGCTTGTTGAAGCCATAGATTGTCACTCAATATTAGTTGATAATAATGTTCTGAACTATTTTCTAGTGCATTAGTATCTGGTTGCTGGTAATGCAATACAACACCTTTTTGCTTTAGTACACCAGTTACTAACTTATGCACTGTCGTCTATAGACCTATTTAACTTCATGTGCGGAAATTTTCTTTTTTAATAAGTTGACGAAGCTTTATGTCATCACATACTAAGTGTTTACTATATAAATTTTAAAGATCAGACTGCGAAGCACTATTATGTAATACAAGAAGCTTTGCTTTAATTTCTTTGGGTATATGTTTATCAGCTCGATGGCTTGTAATTACAAGGTCTCATGCTTCTCGACTCAAATTGATCTGAGATGATGCAGTTGTATTTTGAATAATATTTTGTGAAACATAGTTACCTTTAATGATCATTTGTACTGGGTGATCAGTATCAACTTCAGAGAGCATAATCTCAGTAATAATTCGTATACTACACTTGTGCATATCAAGAAGATTTTTAAGATTATGTTTATTTGCATAATGATTACATGTTTCAGTACATTTGCCAATTTCACCACAAGTTCTTTGGCATCCGCTTTTATCAGAACAAAACCAGACTCATCGCCAAACTTGAAGATCTTTTCCTTCTCCATCACATATTTGTTAAATTCAGTGTTTTTTATTTTCAGTAAGCCGCAAAATATCATCAAGATAATTAGTTGATTTATATTGGCCATTCTCAGTTTTCCAATCATGATAGTCTATAGAATCTTCTATACATTCAACTATTATAAAACCTTGTTTTACAGCATTATTGACTTTTTTTCTACTTTGAACCTTATACTGAGTGTTATGTGAGATGGGAAGCAAATAAAGATATTGTTCAACTGCTCGCCCAAATGGCAGTCGAATAATACTATTATTGTCGATATTCACAGAATAGGAACTTATTTTATACAATGCTAACTAACGTAAAGTTAATTAATATTAAATATTAAACATTTACTCAAAGATTTATTTGTTTCTTCAATTAATATCAAATACTAAATATCCACTTTAAGGTTTGTCTTTTCACGTCTTAATTTCTTCCTACTTTCATTTTAATTTTTATATACTTAACCTCTCTTCTAATAAAATTAATACAATCCATATATGCTGTTTACAAAGGAAATCGATAAAACTTATTATGTAGAATTTGTCTATTCAACAATTATAAAAAGGTTCGGTAAGCTTATTATGGTATTTGTTTATTTAAACGATTGTGAAAGAAGTTCGATCACATACTTTGATGATCTCTATTTATTTAACAAACAAACTTTCTTTTCCTATTTTTAACTATTATTAATTGATGTCATCATGATCCAATCAATAGTATTGTAATTTACAATTAACCCTTATATATGTGATCTATATCTATACTTTTATTAGAAATTGAAACTATTTTATTATTTATATATTAATTGGTTTCGAACTTCCAAGATTACAGCAGACTACTATAGTATAGATGATCAGTATAGGAATACACAGTAATTTTTTAAAAACCATATATACTAATCTACTATAATTTCTAACCATAATAATATACAACATTGGAATAGTATAGCACAGATTTTAAAATAAGAATATATTACACTCCATACTATATAGATCAGGCCTTTTAATATCAAACACGCAAAATATATTTTCTAAAATTTTGTAATACAGTATATTACACTATATAGAGATACAGATATGTGATAATCATAAGCTAAGTAAATAGAGATATGGTTATGTGATAATCATAAGCTAAGTAAATAGAGATATGGATATGTGATAATCGTAAGCTAAGTAAATAGAGATACGGATATATGATAATCGTAAGCTAAGTAAATAGAAATATGAATATGTGATAATCGTAAGCTAAGTAAATAGAGATACTAATATGTAATAATTGTAATATATTACACAAGTCAATAATGATGAGAAATTTTTTTTATTTTGGGTGGGTCAATAAAAATGAGTTAAGTAGGTCAATAATGATGTTTTTGTATAAAGGAATATCGAAAAAAAAAACAGAAAATTTGCTAATCTTAATATCACAGTTATAAGCTTATGATTGGTTTAGACAAATTACATACTGACTAGACAAATTAGTCTCTACTTCTATTTTTCTCTAAACTAGTATACAAAAATAAAAACTCAATAAGAAAAACTTCATCACCAACTTAAGATAGAGAGGTCGAGACAAAGTCTCAGAGCATTGTTTGTACAGATATCCATTGCTTCAAGGCATGTATATACATGTGTTTGTTATCACATTCTGATTTGGAAGATAAACAATACCAACTTGTTTGGTATACGTAATGTCAATCATTTGGAGGAGATAAACTGAAACATCTACTTTTTATAAAAATTTCCTTGAAAAAAAGTGGTTGGCCAACAGAAATATATGAGGTTCTTCTTGTAAGTTTTACAGTTGTATAGTTTAGCTTCTCTATATTTACCAACTTAGGAGTGCATATTGGCTACTTATACAGACTTGTTTTCAGAATAAACCTTCTAGTTTGGATGCCGAATACCTTGAAGAGTCCGCCTAGAAGAAGAAAAAACTTGACCTCAAAGAAAACCATCTGTATTCTTTTAATGCCTGCTTCTTGATATTTTATATCTAGATGCTTAGATTACAACAAGCTGCTTCTACTTATAGAACCAAGTTTAATATCTACTTTGTTGCTTTTCTATATGTTTTCCTGTAGTTTAATTTTTATTGTTGTTGATTAGAGGATCATTGGAAAGTTCGATCTATAAAATACTTAAATTTTTTTGGTTATAGAACAGTTTTATTTTATTAATTTATTATTTTATCTTAGTATTATTTTATTATTTTAATATTTGTATTTTATTAGTTATTAGCAATGTTGGACTGGATATTGGACATGGACATTAGACCACTCTTGTTCAGTCTAATCTAATCCATTGGACCAAAAGATATTAGATATTAAACATATATAATATATAAATTAAAAATATAATTGTATAATAAATAGCTAATTAAATTTTTTTTCTGGAAAGTTGTGAAATATGATAATAATAAATACATATATATTATTATCTATGAAAGTAGACAATAACTAAAAATTATATTTGAATTTGATGATCAGATAATAACAGAATAGTCACTGGCTGCTTTGCAACTAATATGCTATTTTGTTATTATTTGATTGTCAGATTCAGATTTAATTTTTAGTTATATCTACTTCATGAATAATAACAGATTTATTTCTAGATTCTTTTTATACTTCTATACTATCTTTTCAAATTAGAGTTACATATTTCATAAAGCTTAACTTTCTACAATTATAAAACTTCTTTTGTTTTCTTTTATTTTATTTTTTTTTTAATCAACTTTTACTTTTTGTTAACAATATTAACATTAATAATTTAAAATTGCATATATTATTAAAAAAATTACAAAAGAGGATGTTTTATAGAATAGATAGGCAAACTTCACTAACTCTACAACTCTGATATTAAAAAATTAATGATTACTAATTATTAGCGAAGCTTATTTCTTATATTGCCTGCCTATTCTATAGAATATCTAAAAAAAATATAAAATCTAAAAGAAATATAAAAATTCTAGATCAGCTTAAATCTGAAATCTGGGCAATAAATGTTGCAGATTAAAATGAAATCTGATCAAAATGAAACTGAGAACCTCTCATATCTACTTTTAGAGCATATAAAACCCATATATACTCATTTATTAATAAATCTAACCCTAAACTCTACTCCTAATGCTAAAAAGAACTCCAAAAAATGTCTTATAAAAAATTTTAAATTTTTTTAAAAAACAGAAAAATTTTGTTTTGATCAGATTTCATTTTGATCTGTGACAATAAATAAATATTGCTAAAAAAAACTCTGAAAATTTAAATATAAGTTATATTTAAATTTTCAATTTTTCTTTTAGTGACACTTTAATGTAAAAAAATAATATAGAAATATAAATAAGAACTAGAGAATAAATAAAAAGTTTGTTAATATTATGGTTAGCATTTATATTAGAGTTAAAAATTAGTAGAAATATAGTAAAATCATTTAAAAAAACTTTTTACTAGATAATATTTTGATCAAAAATATTCTTTTATATTATTTAAATTTATTGGACATATTGGACTGAACATATGTCCAAGTATTATGTCCAATGTCCAGTTCAGTCCAATAGCATAAAAAATAATTGGACATATGTTCAGTGCCAACACTGCCCTACCCATATAAAAATTTCGACCAATAAATTTCGATCATGCATGAAGATCATCATGTGACTGCCGATTTTTTATAGCACCACATAAAAACAGTATCCTAGTGAATAATCAGTTATCATCCACAACATGACCAATAACAAGTACTTATTGTAATCGTATCCCATAAAGCCAATCAAATGTCAAAATGCAAAAACAGCTTTTTTTTTTAAAAAAAAAAAAAATTAACAGAATTTTGGTTATGAATCTCTTTTATATTCTTACAAAAAAAATTCCTTGAAAATTTTGGTATAAATCATGCCTTTCCTAATCCTAACCTCACCCTAACCTTAAATCGCCAGGTTTTTATTTTTATAAAAAAAATTGTCATTATAGTCACGTTATACCTCTTTAGTTAAGCCTATGGTTACAAAACAATTAATCCATTTACGTATATAAATTTATACAAATTCACATAATTGTGTCAATTCAATGAATTTGAATATTCAAATGAATTGAATATTTGATTCCAACCTCTACATCAATTAAAAAGAAATGACGATAGTTTAATATTCCTTCTTTTGTTATAATTGATATGCCAATTTAGCGGACGAAATTGATTGATCACAGTATAGAATGTAATTTTAATTAATTTTAATCTATTTTTTTTTTTTTTTTTGTACAAAAGATCTAGAAGACCTTAGATTAAAAAAACAACCTTGATTTCGAATAATGATCATTGTTTTTGTCTGAAAAATTACTCTACTGAATTTGTACATACAATTAAATGTATTTTTACCCTTATTATCCCATTTTCCCAATTTAATATTATAAATAAGACGTATGTATGTTGATTAACGAAGTGGTGCAAATCCAACAGAACGCGTACCAAAATCAAATACTGAATAAACATTCTTAATGAAGACATCACCCACAAGCCATTGATTATTTGTACCCACGACACCAGGACTAATCCCAGATAAGCAAAGGTTTTTTTGGGCCAAAACAAGATCACGAGCTATATCTCTTGAATCAATACTATAGCTAACACCATTAAACTTTAAAGCTACTTTAGCAGTTGTATTACATGGAACAGCGTATTCTCCCCCTTTTAATAACACAGATCCAGGAATTTTTTTGTGAATAGCATCTACATCAGCTGGTGGTGCAAGTAACAACGTAGTACCAGTATCAATAATCGTAGTCTTATTCTTGAAACCAAGAGAATTGCCATCAACCGAAGCATCATTCATGGGAATCTCCCAGAATCCAGTTTTCGCAACCACATTAACAAAATTAATTGTTCCAGTAAATAAAGAGATATCAACACCACCAAAAGTAACAATACCTGTATCATGATCTGCTGTATCATGATCTGCCGCTCTAGATAAACGAAATGCAAATATTTGCTGAGTGACAAGATTTTGCTGGACCATGTTAGAGAATGGTGTTGGGGCTGCTTGTGAACTAATACTGTCAAAAGCCATACCCATGATGCCATCGAATTGAGAGCCTGCGAATTCATCAGATTCAGTTGCTGTGATGCCAAAAACTTGATTTTTAACAGTTATGCCTGAAATAACTATATTGTCTGTACAAGAAATTCCGGAAACTGTACCAGTGCCATATTTGATTGAAAAAGGTGTGCTCAAAGATTGAAAAATTTGATGATTTTACTTGATTAAACTTTGTATGATTTAAACAGGCAGGAGATGAACAGCCTAAAGAAGGAACCCATAGATCTGCACAAGTATAATGTTTGAATCAAAAAGAAAAAAAAATTAAAAAAAAACCGAAAATTCTAGGAAAAATTATTTATTTTTGTTACCTGCTGAACCGGTATCAAAAATTACATTAAACTTTTGACCACCAATTGATATTGTGCCAAAATACCCAATATCATCATTAATGTCACCAATCTTAATATTAGAAGTCACCCGTTTCTTTAGTTCCTCTCGACCTTTTAGAGCATCTTCGAGGCTATTCATGACAGAGTCATCTACTAAACCATTTTTGTATGCCGTTCTTATAGATGATTCATATTTAACCAATGAACGTAGTTTATGATAATTACGTGTTTCGGTCCATTTAAAATATTTTGGAGGAAAATTTTTGACAAGCGACATGTAATGGCTGGGAGGATTGATTATTGGTGCAGCTTCAGAAGCTATTATGATGGCCACAAATAGCAAGACAAAGACCAAAGGTATTTTCATCGTTATAAAATTCAAGGCCTTTACAAAAGGACTATAGGGACTAAAAGTGCAGAAACCAGCTCTGCTTTACTCAAAAGAGCGATAGTAAAATCGAGGCCTAGAACGATGAAAACGAATGGGTTTCTTCAGAACCAGTCTGCCCACACTGATCTTAAACAGGATCAAATAAACCTCCAGGGATTTTAATGTTAATATATGCTAGTGAAAGCATTTAAATACGTTATTAATTAATTAAGTTTGTAATACTCTATTGTTGTTTTAGGTAATAATGTGATACGTACTCCGTTTGATATATTGTTCATACAAAATCCGATATCGCCAAGCAATCTTTGATTAACATCAATATGGTTAATATGTGCTGATTTTAGAGCTATCTCTTTATTTCTGAAAAACAAAAAAGGCATCGAAGTTAACCATACCGTACTGCTAACCCATTTTAGTCTATTGTTAATATAGTTAATATCTATTAATACATTAATTAATTGGAAAAAGTGTTTAAAAAGATGCCAAGATAAAAAGTTATGCGTCTAAACTTTTATATTCAAATTTCTCCAATCTCTATATCAATACCCCAATACCAAGACTGTTATTAGATGCCAATTGTAAATCAATCTTGGCTCTTTAATTGCCATTCATGCATAAATAGGGCCCCTAGAGACAAAACTCTTGGCGACCATCCTGAGGATCGGGTTCTGGAATGGTTATAAGATCATCATATATATAGCTAAATCGATATTGTGGTAATTTGGTTAATATTATCTGCATAAGAACATAACTGATAATATATTGGGCGTATCCTATTGGTCAATTTATAAATATAGCGATAGTGCAGATGATACGTATACGTAATGATGATCACTTAATAAATTTTTTTGGGATCTGCAAAATGTTTAATGAAAAGTGTCTAACAACGTTAGAATCTTATCTCACTAATTGAAATATGTCACAGCTTACCTTTACGATTTACTGTGGTTACATGGTAATTCGTTGGCCGGGTTGTCCTATAAATTTAAAGAGCACGTTAAGAGAGCTTCGGCAAGTATAATTTTATTTGTACATATTTATTGGTTCAAAAGTTATTAAAGATTAAATTTTTATAAAAACCCGGCCTTGTGGCCCGTTTGCAAATCGTGTGATAGCAGACACCCAGAAGCCGTGACATATTTCAATTAGTGAGTGAGATAAAATTCTAACGGTATTACTTATAAAGACGCTTTTCATTAAACATCTTGCTTTTATATAATAAATGTTAAATATTGTGAGAGAAATTAAAGGCGAAGCAAAATCGATTTTTTTATATGGAGCGCAGATCCCAAAATTTAATTATAAAAAAATTTATTAGCGGCGATAGGATACACCCAATAATAGATGACGTTGTAAAAGAGTATACCAAGTTTTTGTTACGAATTATATGGATAACCTCTGTCCAGATTAACAGGGTATCATGTGTGCACAGTAACACAATGCTGCGGTATGTAATCTGTAGTTTTCTCAAAGAACATGATTCTATCACTATGACACTACATATAAATTTACCTTCATGGTATGCGTTTTCATCAAACCTATTTTATTTTTATTTTCTTTTGTGCTGTCATTTTATTTCTTGTTTAAGAATATTGATGGATAAAAATTATATCATGTATTCTGAAAATTTTAAATGACTTGGGTATTAGTCATTGCTATTTTAAAATTATTAGAAGATATATATCATTTTTTTCATTATTAATTTTCCAGCATATACGTATAAAATCTAATTCCGTACGCTATAATCCTGTGTTATACTTTGTTCGTCATTAAGTAATGGTAACTGAATAAATAATAAAGAAGTCTGCGATTATAAGTTTCCGTGACAACGCCATGGTTAACTGAAATACTTGTTACCGTTTGACCTATTGACTAATAATAGGTTATGACCTTATGACCTGTTATGACTTATAAACTTACTATCGCATGATAACGTCTTGGTCGGATATGACCTATAATAGTTAACACTGACAGTAAATTGCCAAATAGTGTGTCCGGATATTTATAACGACTAACACCTTACTTGGAGTGTTTTGGTGAGTATAATCAAAGATAAATAACTGATATTACAGTATCATAAAGTCAAAATTTTATACCCTAAATTTCTAGCATTCGAAGGCTCTTATTATAAAATTATAAGGGTAGTTAAAATAAATTCTATGATATCCGCTTTTATTGAAGATCCTCAAAAAGTGAAATAAAGTTGACGTTCTAAAGTATATATTAGAACCATGGAACTAAGAGAATACTCTGCTATACCATAAAATTTTTGGAAAAAAGAAAACATCCGTTTTGCATACGATAATGGAGGCTTACAAATAAGATATTCTGCGATGAATTAAATATAAATGATGACATAAAATATTTACCAGAGAAATAACATCTAAAATAAGATAATAGCTTCAAAAAAGAAATTCTATATTTCTTTATTTCAAACGAATTTATTACCATAACAAAAGGTAGAGATAAAAAGATACTCTAGCAGACAGCATAAGTCCTCAATGTAATAAATCAAAAAGCTTTGATCACATAAATAGTACTTGGAAAATTAGGAAATTTAAACGAACCTTAACAGAAGGGGAACTGTGTGCATTAATTTTTTGCTTGATAATAAATAAAATATGACGACGTACATTTGTTTCCGCCTTTTAACTAAATTATTGACGTTGAATAAGTACATTAGTCGTGAATATTTAAAAATTGAAGAATCACTAATCAATTAGAATAATCGTTCAGCAAGAGAGTTTTTTGTCACATATCGCAAATTTCATCCTTGAGCAATTGACACCAGGCGATGTGTCGCAAAGATGGCATTCGAACGCAAATTATCCTTTTTACATCATTTGAAGTTTTTTTTTTCTTAAAATGTAAAAAATACTTACAAGAAATACAGTTCAAGTTACAAAAAAAAAAAAAAAAAAAAATTCAAGTTTATATCAGTTGTCACATCCAATAGGAATGGCAAAAAAAAAACTTTTTTGCAGATTTTCAAAATTGACCAATCAGAATGCAAAACAAAATCACGTTAACTCTATTTCATCTGATTGGTAGTAATTCATCGCAATTGGAATCAAGTTCAACTTTTTTACTAAATTATATAAAAATGAAACATCGCAAAGAGGTTATACTTAAATCCAGGCACAAGAATTTCGATGCATTTGAATTTTAATGCGGCAAAAGAATGAAATATAATCGAATTTTTGCAAAAATAATCTAAACTTATCGAAATAAATATTTGATTGTCCCTGACCGCTTTCACCATTTTGAACACTACCATTTTTGTTACGATTTTTTGACATTCACGATAAAAGGGATAAAAAGTTAATTTTACTAAGATATCAATTTTATACTGTATCAGAATGATTAAATATCTATTTTTGAATTGTTTTCGAAATCTTATGATGGTAGGCTGACCCAAATAGCTAAAAGCGAATTATCATTATTCTGGTTATTCTGGAGATTTAACAATGTGTGCGTGTGGACAGTGATTAGCGGATACCGTACGATTTGGAAACTTATCTGTGCGGCAAATAAAGAAAAACTATGAGCAACTGTTTACAAGCGTGCGCACTACTTACAAAATGTTAATTTTTTCTGTGCGGCACCTGTTCAAAAGAAAATGTGCGCAAAATTTTGTTTCTGTGTGCTGTGCACAGTCCGCATAGCGAAAGATAGTCACAGGTGTTTAGTTAACAATTGAAGCTCTGAATTTTAGTCGTACCTGGGTTATATCACCCTTTTTATCTCTATATGTTAATTTTTTTGGAGATATTTGTGATATAACTCAATATATAAAAATATTAAAGAGACATTTATTCTGCCTAAATATGGGGACATAACTGAGGCAACAAATGAGAGGGGATATAGCCCAGTGAATATATAACCCAGGTACGTACGTACGACTGTATTGGCTATTAATACGTCGAAATTTTTTTCGCAAAACTTTGTAACACCACTATCATATTTGTCCACATAATCAAAAGAATTCACCGCATCATATTTTTCATCACTAATATTCATTCTAGGAACAAGTGAAAATTTTACCGTGGAAAGTCCGATTTTGTAAGAAATTCTTGCCTATTGAGATATTAAGATAGATATATGAAATTTTTTTTGAAATTAGCATATAATTATATCAACTTACACTTTTTTCCTGGTTCCTTGTTGATAATGTCGTATCAACGAATCTCGAATGAAATTCAATTGTTCTTTAGATCGTGAACGAATTTATATCGATTAAATAATCTCGTACTTATTAATATATTATGTAATTGAATCGTAAGCTTGAAGTAGTAATTACAAATTATTACTTTAAATGATGTAGATTTCATCAATTGAAAAAAAACATGCTTCATGTACATCCTTATTTTCGTTTTCGTTATTCATACCAAGATCAAGATCAATTTCTTGTAATTCTATACTGTATATCCACCTGATTTCAGGATTCTAACTATCTGGTTGATGTGTGGTTCCCATTGAGTTTTAGATATTCCAGCGTTAAGCAAACTTATCCATCGTGGATGTTACAAATTTGAAACGAAGCATTAGAAGGAGTCGAACTTGTGTCATTTTGAATAGTGGGGAAAATATCGATACCGTAATGTCGAAGAAGAATATAGTTCAGCTATTTCACGAATTCGAATTCCAGAACCACATCTATTAACAATGCATGTCAGAAATTAAAGTTAAATTTTACTCATGATGCAAACTACGGGTTACCCCCGTTAATATCAACCCATTTGGATATTGATATGTGCGAGGGTTGATAACAGCGGATAGTTTTTATATAACCTAAGTCTATTTTTTCTTAATAAGAGGTTGATATTAACGGGGTAACCTGTATTTTAAAAGATTACAACAATCACCCGATATCCAAAATTTTAGCGTTTTCACATTCCAATGCTTCTTTGATGGGTAATTGCTTTTCCAAGCACTCTTTATTGCGTAGTGCATTAATTTTAACCTATAAACTTCTTCTGAATCAATTGGCATCGGATATGGAGAATTTCCAATATTTTCATTAAATATTCTATCATTAATATCTTTAACCATAGTAACCTGATTGATCAACCTTTGCACTTTTAAAAAAAAAAATTTTAAAATGCAAATATTGTCCAGAGCGCAGCGGAAAACTTAAATACAAAAAAATTCCTTGGGTTTTTCTCACATGATCACTAACTAATAAGCACTTAAGAAATTATTATACAAATTGTTTATCGGGACGTATATACACGCCATCCCTAAGACCTATCATGTTCCTGGAGATGTTCTGCGTATATATCCTTTATTTTTATCATTTGATTCAACAAATTAATTCTTTTATTAATGTTATTCTTAAGTTGATTTAATTTTAATTGAATTCTTTTATTTATTTAATTAATTTATTACTTCTTGAAGCCCATTCGGGAGATTTGACCCAATTTTTATTTATTATGAAAGGGTGAAATCCGCGCGGAGGAATTCATATCAGTATGGTAATAGTTGACCTTATCAGTATGGTATGGGTGACCTGACCATTCTGGTATGGGGGTGTAAAATACCAAATTTAAAATCCGTACCCGTATTATATTAGGGTTAGGAATTATAGCAGATTAGTATGGTGTTTAGGATACCAAACAATTCTGCCATATTCTGTAATCCCGCGCAGAGATAACTTTCTTGATGCAGATCAATAATGTATAACAGGGTTCAGGTTTCACTCTGTCGTGATTATCAAATTATCAGCCCGGTAAAATTCCGAATAATAGTAAACATGGAACTATTTTAATGATTTCATTGAAAACAAATATACAATTTATATTTAGTAATTATTATTATTGCGTACTATTAATACGTACAATTATTACAAACAGAATATAAAAACGCGGACTTTTTCTCCTAATTTCTGAATTTGCACAGTAGATCCTACCAAAAGAGTGTTCTTGACAATCTTCGATCGGGAGCTTATGAAAAACTATATTAATTACGTACAAGTCACCAATTGGCCAGTATTATTGCTATTTATAACGATAAAAGTACAACCAAACTTGCTATAACTGTTAATTAATTATAATAACGATAATTCAAAAATTTACCGTACAGCGCGGACCACGGTACCCCGTGCAAAATACCCCTATTAAAAAATTTCATGGTGGAATGTAAAATACCCGGGGGATATATCCTATGTAAAGCTTTTCATATGAAAAATCGCTTAGTATAGTACCCCTGTAGATTGTATTATCCGGGGTACCTGGTTCGTAATATTTTTATTCTTATTATAACTTTATATAATAAGATAATTTTGTCTTTTTAATTAGGTGATTTTAGTGGTTATGCTAGAGAGTTCTTTGTAGTGATCTTGGCCGATAGTGAAAAAATCGGCTAAAAGCAAATTATCGGCTTAGCCGGTCGATTTTTTTATACAAAACTATACAAAACTATACAATTTTTATTACTAGGATTGTAGCATTCGAGGTGGAAAATGAATGAACCTAAAATACGAGCAAGGTTGAGACCAAAATTTTCAGTAAAGTCCGAATTAAATGGTGTAATTTTAAGATCGGCTAAGCCGGCTAACCCGGTAAAAATTTATCGGCTTAGTCATAGCCGAAAAATTATGATCGGCCAATATCACTAGTTCTTTGCCTCTTTCAATTACTATGAAACACCCCACTCTCGATAAATGATATAATGCAACAATTACACTGTAAGCGATTTTTATTAACCAAGTTGGACTTTTCGTGTCGAGAAAAAATATCGCGAGAAATTCTTAGCATAACAATAAATGGTGGCTTACATGTAATACCGATACGTATGTAATTTTATCTAGAAAACTTATCGTTACACAACTTATCGTTACGCAAAGATCATGTAACAAAAGTTGGAAATCTGGCTTGTTTTCTACATAAGTACATTTGGTACCGGTAATACGAAAGTTCTTATTTGTAACAACATAACAGATAACAACGATCTTTATAGATAAATATGGCCACTTTAAATTATCGTTATTTGTTATGATGATAAGGGTTTCGTTTATAATGGTACAAAAATGAAACGTTTTACAAACTATTCTAAATAGAGCGTTTAACAAAACGACGTTGCAAAAACGAAGCGGTTCTTAACCGATTTTGTAAAATGTAAATGATTTGCAAATATCGTTTTGAGAATCACTTAAAAACTTTTCATAAAGAAAATTGTATGCTATTTATCTTTTTAATCATCAAGCACACCAGCTTCGATAAGTAATTTTTTTAATTTCCCATTTTTATGCATTATGGAAAGTTCATCGCTACCACCAATCGACATACCATCCACAAATACATTTGGAAGTGCCGTCCGACGTGTGAATTTAAATAGTACATGTTGTATTTCTTTCGCATCGGCTATTTAAAGGAAGTAGATTAGAATCTATGTATTAAATAGATAGTATTGTATGAAGAGGATAATTACAACGTTCGTCAACTTCAATCGAAACGGGATGCGGAGAAATGTTGTATCCTGAAAGAATGCGTTTTGCATGCATTAAATTTCTAAACAAACAAAGTAATTATATAATGAATCAAAGTAATTATACTGTTCGTATAATGAATAATAATAAATTATTGTTGTACGTATACCAAACTTCATACCAAGAATATACTCACGGACAATCAGATTTGCCGAATATAATAACTGGATTTTCATGAACCAGATAATCGATTTCTAATTCAAGAACATTTTGAGGTTTAATATCATATATTATCACGGAACTTGATATATGTGATTGTTCATACACATTGTGTCTATGTCCGTGACCATAAACACTAAAACGGCTGTGACTTTGTACCTCCAAACTATAAATACCTTCTTCACCACCATCACCCATAACACTCGCAGCAACCATAGCTGCCTCATTACTTTTAAATCGTTGTAAAGTATGAATGTTTAGGCTAGCATCGCTAAAGTGAGCCACCACCCATAAAGAACAAAGGAATAAACCAAGAGTAGAACCTAATATTCTAAATCTTCTTGTGCGTAAAATGAAATCGCTAACTTCTACAAAAGAATTTCGGCGATGGTTCATAGGTGGAATCGGATAAGATGTTGGTAAAATAGCCGCCTTGCTCATTTTCAAAATAACAAAAAATTGGAACTTCAAAATAATATGAAATCAAGATAAAAAAGATATATATTACAAAAAAAAAAATCGTGAACTTTATAAAATATTGCCTCGTTAAATTTTTCGATTTTCATAAAAGATACTTCAAGTCATAATACATGTGGATATTTGCTGAAGCAAATGGACTAAAGGCATAAAGGCAAGATGAACTGCTTCAGGATTTGCTTGTTTATTTATTTATTTTTTTTAAATCATTAACTTTATTAATACAAATTATAACGTTACATAAAAAGTGAAATCACATTAAGCTGCAAGTTGGTTATCTATCGTTATATAAAAAATGGATAGCTTAGAATGTCGGATTTAAGAACATCTTTTGATGAAAAACGCCATCAATACGTACCTTAATAACCAAATTCTTATTTAATATATACAATATGATAGATAATTTTTTGTTTGTTTATGTTAGTATAACGATAATTGTTAACGTGATAAGATAACCATAACCTTCTATATACCCCCTTCGTTTTTTTTATTGGTATGTATGTCCCTATGAGGAAACTGTATTCCTTTTAGAGATCACACTTTACCTGTGATACATAATTCATACGTAGTAATTCAATTAACTTAATAATGACTTAATAATATCTGGTATGGATTTTCTTAACGCGTATTTTAAAACTTAATTATTATTATTACTATATATTATTATTTTAATCTTCAAAGGTGAGGCAAAACTTAATTATTTTAAAATCTCTTGTTTACAGAATTTCACAAAAAAAATTGTCGCAGCTGATGCTGAAATTTGGAGTCTCGATTTGATAATATAAACCCTGCTAAAATTCATATATACTCTTTAATTATCAATTCTAGCCCTAAATCCTAACCCTAAAAAAAAAGCGGACAAAAACACAAAAATATTTTAAATTTTCATATTAAATTAGTCCGAATTTCAGCATCAGCTGCGACAAATATTATGTAAAGTATGCCATGGGTGGGATACAAAAATACTTTGATAGATTTAGATTATAGATAAAGTTATCTTAGAAATGAAAGGTTTGATTTGGTTGGTTTAATTAACCCTGATATATGTAATTAAAACCAGCCCAATCAACTACTGTCGGGATAGCTAAAGATATCCAATTTTTTTTAAATTGTTATAACTTTTTTAAAACAAGTTAAAATAAAAATCTCTCTTTCAAATTTATTGTTTTTTATTTTAATAACAAATCTAAAAGAGATTTTAATTTTATAAAAAATTATAACAATTTAAAATATTTGATTTTAAAAATTTGGTGTATATATATGATTTTAAGTATTTTTATTGGTTAAAATTTTATTTTTATCATTTTTATTATAAAATTTTCTAAGATTTGGTGCATCACAGAAAAAGCAAATATCTGTAAAAATCTGATATAAATTAGTTTATTTATTAAAACAAATAGATATACAGTCAGACCTTGATATAATCACCAGGTTGGGAAACAAACATTTGGTAATTATAAAAATGTGTGACTATATAAAGGTCAAATTGTATATGTTTTATAATGTCTAGGCTTAAGAAATAGTGTGACTATAACAAGGTTGTAACTATATCAAGAGAGACTATAACGAAGTCTGACTGTATATTGTATTTTTTATAGAATATCACAAATCATTATTACTACTATATATTCAACCAATTGGATTATAGGATCTTAATATCCAAAGATATGTTATTATCAGTGTTGGGCATTTGATCAATTTGACCAATTTGACCAATTTTTTAATTACAGTATTAATAAAAAATTTTTAGTTAAAAGATATTATTATTTAAATTTAAATTTAATAAATTATTATATAAACTATATTGTTTAATTTAATTAAAAATAAAACTAATAATAAATAAAAAAATTTAATAATAGCTAAAAAAGGTCAAATTGATCAAATTGGTTAAATACCCAACACTGATTATTATAATAAATTATTTTGTTATCAATAATTTTTGTTTTTTTTTTAGTTTTGCTATTGTTTTGTTATACAAGTAAAAGTTTTCATTATGTACAGTAATTTATATTTAATTTTACTTTTTTACATTAACTCTGCCTAGTCTAACTTTAAATTTATTTTATTAAAAAATATATAATATATAAAAAAATCTTCTTAAACACCTTTTTGAAATTATAAAAAATTTTCAAAAATTTGTATTTAAAAAAAGTATGCATTTATTAAGAGCAAAGTATATTATTATTTTTTTTTTTAAAATTTGGTTAAAAAAGCTGATAATACTTTATTAGATATAACTATAATCATATACATAATTGTTAAAATATATTACAATCTAAAACTATGCTATATTAACTCAACTCAGAGTTTTGACATCTATCTAACTACTCTTTTGAGTACTTAAATACTGTATATTCTAGTTGTACTACCAGTATGCTATATAGTAGCTAAAATCAATACTAGTGATCAGGATACCTACTATTTGGGAAGATATTGTCATTAAATCACCCACCAGTGGAAAGGATTAGATCTGTATCTAATGCTACTTCTGCATCTTGCAACTACTATATTTAGCTAGACTATATTTCCTGCATTATACATTTTTTTACTTTTATATAACTTCCAAATTGGTAATATTCAGGTTATAGATCTTGATGATCTTTTAGTTTGGTGTGCTCTATTATTTTTTTCTCTAAGATTATTTTAATATTGGTCCAGAAACTGGTATCTCAAACCAAAAATTGCTGTCTAGTTAGGTTCATCACAAAACAGAGTTGGTATTTCATTGTCAAGTATTCTCTTCTATATTTCTGCTCATATACTACTAACACATATTTCAAACTAGTTTTTGCTGCTGCAGCTCAACTTCAGCTATTCCAGGTCTTAATATTATACAATTACTTAATATATTTCTCTGTTTTTTTAAATACTAGGGTTCTGCAATTTGATTTGATTTGATTCAATTAAATATTCAAATCAAATCAAATTCAAATCATAGATTTATTTGATTCGATCAAATTCAAATTGACAAAATATTTGATTTGATTCGACAAATATTTGAATATTTAAATTGATTTGAAGTGAAACTATAGATTCAATTGCTATTTATGCAAAATTTTATTATGATAACTGCCATTTTCATTTTAACTGACTAGGAGTATTTTAATTAGAAGAACATTTTTTATTTAATATACAAAATCGATTAGCTTAGTAAAATTTTGTGTAAATTGCGATTTTTGAAA